GGAAAATTAAATAATTTTATTCTTCCTTTAGTGCTTAGGGACTATAGGACTACAGGCGTAAGTAGGGCATTTAGAGTAGAATTTAGATAATTTAGTTATTGGATTGATGAACCATTTTAAAAAAAGAATTGTTATTGAAGAAATTGGAGAAATATGGATCTGTGAGTTTAACTTGGTCATTTAATAACTGACAGCTTGTTCTTTGGTTTTGAAGAGTGAGAATGAATGGTTTTTATTCTAAATCACTCTTTAAAACTTTCTTCTAGTTGTGAAGTTATCCGAGATTGGAAAACAGGAGAGTCACTCTGTTATGCTTTCATTGAATTTGAAAAGGTATGTCATAATCTAGATATTTTAGGTTTGGTGTTTTGGGGTTTTTGAATTTATTATTTTGTGTGTGTGTGTGGCCCTGGGGTTTGAACCTAGGGCCTCCTCCTGTTAGGCCCTACCACTGAGCTATATCCCCAGGCCTCTTTTTATTTTTTACTTTGAGTTGCTCTCACTAAGTTGCCCAGGCTGGCCAGCCCTGAACTTGGCTATCCTCTTCCTGCCTCAGCCTTCCAAGTATCTGGGATCACAGGTCTGTGCCACTATGCATTAATTAATTAATTAATTCATTCAGTGCAGATGATTGAACTCAGAGCCTTTACACTGAGCTACATCCCCAGCTCTTTTTAAATTTAGAGATAGGGTTTTACTATTGTTGCTAAGTTATGCCTGTTTTTTGTTTTTTTTTTTTTGAAGAGAGGGTCTTAGTTGCCTGGGTGGGCTATGAACTTGTGATCTTCCTGCCTTAGCATCCTGAGTAGCTAGCATTGTAAGCATGTGCCACTGTGCCTGGCTATTTTGTTATATATGATAAATATAAAAAATTATAGAACTCTTGCTAGTTTTTAGGATTGCATTTTCTTTAGAAAATGGGCTTTCTTTTGTTCACATAGGGAGCAAATTTAGCCTCTATTGCTTTTTTGTTGTTGTTGTTGTTGTTGTTTTTTGAGACAGGGTCTCACTATGTAGTTCAGGCTGGCCTTTGTGCTAGCACACCCAACCTGTTGATTTTAATATATACCTTTACTGTAGGTTCAGATGCCGACTGCCTGGCTCTATCTTTAGAACTTTGCAAGTTTTAGGGAAAGTCCTTCACGATCATCTTTCATTGTTCCTTTTTCTTGAGACAGGGTCTTGCTCTGTAGTCCAAGCTGATCTTGAACTCACTGTGTAGCTCAGGCTAGCCTTGAACTCATGGTAGTCCTCCTTCTTCAGCCTCCTGAGTGCCTTGCATTGTTACTTAGGGGGCGCACTAATTGAGTAATAGAGTAGACAAGTGTCTGTGATGATCTAGGTCAGTGGTTGCAAACCCAAGGCACACATGCTGCAGCGGGAAAGCAGAGCTCTCTCTGTTCACACATGAGCCAAGTGTCTCAGTTGTTTTTTCTAAACTAAAACTTAATTATTCAGGTTTAATTACAGTTTGGCACTTGGTGATAAATAAATGGGTTTGGGGTTGCAGTTTGGGCACTTGGTCTCTAAAAGATTCATCATCACTGATCTAGGTATTAATCTACATGTTGGTACCGCCCAGCTATTGTACAGTATTTGACAATTTATTTAACTCTTTTGTTTTTATTGTTGTTTTTGAGACAGGGTCTTGCTTTGTAAACTAGGCTGGCCTTGAACTCACTGAGTTCAGCCTCCCAAGTGCTGGGATTACAGGCATGCAGCACCACACCCACCTTTAGCATTTCAATTTTTGAAATAGACCTTTTCCAGCTTTTTCTGTACTTAAAAATAAGTTTAACTACATTATTTGCCTTCATTTCTGTGGTTGGTAGTTTCTTTGTAAGTGTTCATAACTGAGTCTGTATTTTTTGTATGTTAGGCAATTCTGTATGCTTTGGATAATCTGATCCACATGTTTTTTAAATTGAATTAAATACATATGGAAAATGAACAGCCTGGTGAATTACTACAAAGCTAACATGCTCATGTAAATTATCACTTAAGACATAAAATACTTAGCAAAAAAACCCCCAAATTACCAGCATCCTAGAAGACCTCCTGTATCTCTTTCTAGTAATTTCCTTATTGCTTCTAACATTACATTAATTTCATTTAATTTTTGATATAAATGAGAAATATTTTGTATCTAGCTTCTTTGGGTAGTGTTGCACTTGTAACATAAGTATTACTGCATCTAGCTTTTGTTAACTTGTTAATTTTCATTTACATAGTATTTAATTGTGTGTATATAAAAGTTTATATTTTCATTCTGCTGTTGATAGACACTTGAGTCCTCTTTAATTTTTGGCTATTATGAATGTTGCAACTACAAACTGTTTATCTACTATGTTTTTTGTTATTTTTAATTTTTAAAATAAATGTTCTATAAATATTCTTTTGGTGTATATATGTACTTTTGTGGGGTATATATATCTAGGAGTGAATTGTTGGGTCACAGGGTAGGGCATTAATAGATAACTGGTCAGTTTAATTTTCACTTATCAGATCATGGCCATCTATGTTTTTCCATATCTTGACCAACTCTTGGTTTTAGTCAGGCTGTTTAATTTGATCCATTCTGGTAGAAGTGTTGTAGTATCTTATCATGGTTTATTTAACTTTTCCTTGGTTGCATCCTTTTCCCTATGTTCATTACCATTTGCAAAGCTATTTTTGAGTTTGTTGTTTGTGTTTTGAGACAAGTGTCTTGCTGTGTAGCCTAAGCTGGCCTCAAATTCATGAGGCTCCTGCTTCAGCCTCCTGAGTGCTGGGATTACAGGAATGCACAATACCTGACTGGCTGTCCTATTTTAATGAAGGACCTACTTAAGACTTGCCCATTTTCCAATTTAGTAATCTAATCTGCCTTTTTGTTGATTTGTGAGAATTCTTGTATTTTTGAGGTGTTAGCTTTTTTTGGTTATATGTGATGCAGAATTTTTGTTCTGTGGATTATCTTTTTTCTTTCCTAATACTTTTAATAAACATTAATTTCAAATTTTAATGTAGTTCAGTTTGTCAGTATTTTTCTTCCTTTTTCATGGCCCGTTTAAAAGAATCTTTGCCTACTCTAAAGTTACAAACATATTCTCTATTTTTTGGAAGCTTTCTTAGATTATTTCCAGTTTGAACTGTGATTTGATTTTTGTGTACTATGTGCATTACTTTAAGTTGCATTTTTCTTGTACTGAATAGCCGAGAGACCTGGTATCATTTATTGAAACGGTTGTCCTGTACCCACAGGCTCTATGAGGCCACCTTTGTGTCCATATATGTGTAGAGTCTGTTTCTGGTTCATGTTTGCCATCTCGGGGAGCCAGAAATAGACATATCTTACATATCTTGTAGTGTGAGTCCTTCAACTTTGTTGTTCTTGAAGATTGTCTTGGCTATTTTGGGGTTTTGCATTTCCATATAATTTTTGAGTCAGTTGTCAATTTTGAAGAGATTTTTAAACTATTAAATGTAGATACATTGTTTGCAAATACTATAGTGAAAAAATGATCTGAGAACTTTATCGGGAAATAGCATAGTGATGGAGTTATACTTATCCAGGTGTAATCAGTCAGATTTATAAGCTGTAACATTGATTGCCTACCATATGCCAGATGATGTTCTCAGTGATGTAGATGAATAAAGCCTTGTTTGTTGTCTTCATGGAGTACATAACCCATTTTATTGACCAGTGTGTGTTAATTGTTGACACACATGGGTAAATATGATTGTAACTAGTTCTTTTATCTGCTTCTCTTGGAATTGTCTGTAGTAACTTTTGAGCAGACATAAGAATATCCAGGAATATAAAAGAAATTTGATTAGTGCCATGTTGAAATATGTTACTCTGATCTTCAGATGTCAGAAACAGTCTTAGAATTTGTTTAGTTACTGAAAATGGTTCTTGTGTAGCACAGTCGTAGGTATCACAGGCTCAGAATGCATCATCTAATATTTTGGGGAATTGCTGTGCTTCTGATTTTACAATTTTTCCCAGTTAAGAAAAGTACACCTTGTATGTGAATACACACATACACATTACCTGTGTGGGTTACGTAGTAACCCTTTGGGCCAGCGTTCTGTAATGAATCACAGTATTTTAGAGTGAAACAAATGGATATTCATAGCAAATGAATTTTAAAAAGGCCATAGATTCCTATTAGGTCAAATATTACTGCCAAATTTCTGGGATGTTTTGTTCATGTTTTTCTTTGGTGCTAAGATTTCTTCAGAACTTCATGCATGTAAGCCCTTGCTGTACCACTGATCTACAGCTCTAGCCTCTGCCAGATAACTTTTTTTTTCCCTTAAATTCTTTTATTGGTACATTTTAGGGATACAATACATTTACATTTATCATTGGCTTGTACATGTACATGATGTATCTTGGTTCTTATTTTTTCCCCATTCCCTGTCCTCCCTTCACACCCTCCACCCTTCCCTATTTACAATGACTTTGTTTCCATTTTTTCCTTTTCTCATCATTTTTCCTTTCACTTCTTTCCTTTCCCTTTCCCTTCCCACTTCCCCCTACCCCTTTGGACCTTTGCTTCCTATTTCAAATTATCAATTATTCATTTTAATCATTTTAATTCTTATTTACACTTTCAGTTTCTCACACCAGAGAAACTATTCGGTATTTACACGTGTGTCCTATTTATTTCACTTAAGAAGTTGGCCTGAATATGCATCCATTTAGCTATAAATGTCTCTAGTTTCTCTTTCTTAATGACTGAGTAGTACTCCATTTTATAAAACAAAAACATCTTCTTTATCTAGTTTCCAGTTGATGGGTACTTGGGCTGTTTGCGAGCTTTAGCTATTACAAA